ATTCGTGCACCAGCCGCCGCGGATGTGGCAAGACCAGCGTACCCGGGCTTGGACATTCCGATTTAGGGTTTGAGCTTCGGGGTTTAGCGTGTCGGTCATGAGGTGTTGAGATACTTGCCTCAGCCTCAAACTGCAGATTGAGCTCTGAAAGCCCCATACCGCAAGCCTGCCTAGCCAGGCGGGAGACAGGAGAAAGGATCAACTCTAACACCTTTTATACCCGACGCTTTAAATCGCAGAATCCCAGACCGAGTCATCGATGCCGTTTCGAGGAAATGCCACAGCGACGCCCAACCTTAGAGCAACCGCAGGGGGCGAGCGGCCGAGTCGATCTAGTGGCCCGGCAAATGATTGAAGTACTCTTGTGGTTCATGGGGCTTTGTAGTCTTTTTCTTGGGGAAAGTTATCGGATTGTTTTTTTTGTTATCGGTTTTGGGGACCCTTAAAGGTTTAGGGCTTGAGGGATTTGGGGGCTTAGTGCTCTAAGAAGCCTGTAGGCACAAAACAGAGGCTTTTCGAGGATGTAGATGTTTGGAGTTCAGGGTGAAGGGGTTTAGAGTGTGGAAGTTGAGGATGTGGTCTTCCTGAGGGGTGATGGTGATAGTGACGATGGCGATGGCGATGATTACCTTGATGCTGGTGATGATGATGGTGATGGTGATGATGGGAACCACTAATATGATGATGATGATGGTGATGATTATGATGATGATGATAATGATAAGGATGATGGTGGCACTGATCATGCTAGTGATTAAGATGTTGATGCCTTTAGTGATGATGCTACTGATTAAGGTAGAGATGACGATGATGATGATGGTGGTGATGATGACGATGGTGGCGATGGCACCATAGCGATGAACACCTTGATGATGATCCTGGTGGTCGGGCGCTGCTGCTGACGATGCTGACGGTGAAGGCAGATGTTCGGATCTGCAGCCTTCTTACGGAGTTATTTCTTCAACACTGCTTTCAAAAGATCCGTCCTCATACCATGACCAGCATTCCCGGGGACCTCGGCCAGGTAAAAGAGCTGGCAGCGCCACGCAAGGCCGCCGACCGAGTGGCTCTTTTGCAAGAAGCCGTGGCTCACGGGAGAAAATCGACAGCGACAACCACTCGAAAAGAGGGTTTAGGAGTTTAGTTTTGGTTTTGTTTGTTTTTTCTTTTTTTTTCAGGGCTGCCCTCCTCGAAAGCGGGGCTTTTGAATTGGGTATTAGGGGCTCTGGCTTTGGGGTTCAGGGCTTGAGTTGTTCTGGCTTTTGGGGCTTTTGGGATTTATGATGTCGTGTTTTGGGCTTCGGGCTTTCAGCATGTGGACCGAAAAATCCTTTCAAGGGCACGCTGTTCTTTAAGGAAGAAGCGTAAAGCCTCCAAAACCACGGCGCCAAGGCAGTGCTGTGGGCTCTGGTGGGGAGACGATCCACCGGCGGCATGGAGAACGAGGTTCCCGGAGTTAGGGTTCAGGGCTCACTATAAGGGAGTTTCCGAAAATAAGGGGTACCCTCTTTTGGGTTCCTTTTATTAAGGATCCTACTATTTGAGGTGCTATATTAGGGTCCCCTATTTTGGGAAACCCCCATATGCCCTGGCGACAGCGAGATTTCGGGTTTCAAGCGAGTCAGGGAACAGCCCAGACTCGAGGGCTGAATGTAGACCTGACCCTGACACCTTCAAGTAGAAACTTCTGCTGCGACCAGACTCGAACGCCACCCAGAAACGCCAGCTACCCTCCAGCCTAGCAGCCTAAGAAAAAGATACAATGATTATGTTGCCAATAAAGCAGGGTTTTCGTACGGACACTTGTACTTTCGAGTATCTTTCTTGTCCCAATTTGTCTTCTGACTAGCAACTTCAACAGCCCCATCGGCACTTTAGGCCCTAAGATTGAGAACCCTAAGTCTCAACAACCCTGAACCCCTAAGCCCTAAAACCAACAGTTTCGAATCCTTCTAACTGAACACCTGAACCCACGTCTCGTTCGTCGACGCAGGTTCCTCGTCCCGACCCGGGTCCGCGAGCTCGGGAAGCCTCCCGGCTCAACCAGTCGGGCCTTATGTATATATATATATATATCTATATATTTATATCTATATCTATATATATATATACACATATATATATAGAGAGAGAGAGAGAGAGAGAGAGAGTTAGAAGTCGGAAGCAACAGGGATAGTATCCCTCAGTGTCTCTCTCACTTATCTCACTCTCACTATCTCAAGCCTGTGTAAAAAGGGTTCAGGTACAGGGCTTAGGGTTTAGGGTGTGTAGTTTGGGAGGATACATCACTTGGTCTTGCAGGTCTGAGCTGTTTCCAGGCTGCCTATGCGAAACCTCACGCCCTGCATTGTCATACCCGCGCAGTCAACTCTACCTATAGTCTCCAGTGTAGTTCCTTTTTATTAAGGTTACCTCATAGGATCCTATACATAACATTGGTTAAACCCAGAAAGGGACATACAGTGGAGACCAAGGGTCGGCCCAAAGCGCTGGAAATACTCCACGACTCCTCTTGCAAAACTCAGGGAGCCCTACAAAACACGCCTCACCCTGTCAGCCCCTGAAGCAAAGCTTCTGCAAAGGAAGGTTTAGGGTCTCGGGTGTCGGTTCAGAGAGTTGCGGCACACCCCTTTTGCCCTGTAGCCTTAAGTCTCTAGGCTTGAAAACCAAAATCCGAAGCCCCAAGCCCTCCAAACCGTCTTTTCTAGTCGTGCTTTGGCACTTTGGGAAGGGGGCCCGGATCTAGACGACATGTAACCCTAGCATTGTGAAGCAAGCCGAAAGCCTGGCACAGACTATCTTCTTCAGTCCCGACATACTTGCGGCTTGACTTACGTGCGTTCTTTCCTCATTCAGACGATTAGCCCAAACCCTAAACCCCGAACCCAAACCCTAACCCAAAACACATTCTAAACCCTAACCCCAAAACCCGAACCCCTAAACCCTGAAACACTTCTAGGATCCCTACTAAGGATCCCTGTAAGGTTTCTTTCCGTCGGCCTGAGGTGCCCGGTTTATTGGCAGCGTCCTTCGCGCCACGTCGCCGCCTGGGAGTGCCAGGTATTCCACCCCACCCCCACTTGGAGGTTCATGGGTAGCTATAAACGGGGTTATAAGTAGGGTAGCTAGACTTATAAGCCATTTTTTGGGGGACGTATAAACCCACTTATAGCTACCCATGAACCTCCAAGCAACCCCTCCCCTCCCCCCATCCGGGAAGTGTAGGCTTCGGTGCTGGTTTTAGGGGATAGGAGAATTCGGCTTGGAGGTCAGCCGCAGGGTCTAACCGGGCTACTTGCTCGGGGCTTTGGCTTGAAGGTTCGACAGTACGATACGGCCGTTCAGGAATGGCTGAGGTTGTTGTCAGAGAGTCTGCTGTAACATGTGCCAAGATCATTCGGGGCCCGACGATTTCGACCAGGCAAGAAAACAAAGGGCTTTAGAGCCCCAAGCCGACACCGTGCTCGGCCAGTAAACCCATCTTGGCAGGTCCCAAACGCCGGTCTTCGTCACAGCCACCACCAGCGATGGTACCCAGGCGTGGCCCCTGACCGGAGCTTTAGGTTTTTTTTTTTTATCTAAAAGCCGACAAGTGCACGTGCATGTGTGTGTGTATATATATATATAAACAGAGATATGCTTGTCCATTCATTCATGGCACTGTTGTATATCTGCAGACCTCGGTTGGCATATGCTTAACACTCTAGTTTATTTAGCATTCTGTACGTAGTTTGAAGTGCTATCACGGGCATGAAAAGGGATCCAAAGGGCGAATTTGAGCTTACAGTTGAAGCGATCCCGATTCCGGGGATGATTGCAGGGTGTTCGCATCCCCTAAACCCTCAGCCCTTGGTGGGCTTCCTGGATCCTGCAAGACGAAACACTGCCGCTTCAGCCAAAAATCTTAGTCATCAGCACTTAGCCCTAAACCCCAAACCCCGAAGAGAATCCTCCGATAAAGCTGGGAAGATTTGCATGGCCCCTGAACAAGGATGACACGCACAAATTGAGAAGGCTACCAAGTGTCAAACCCTAAACCCTAAGCTCGAATAGAACCAAAGCCCAAACAAGGTGCCGCTTCGAGTATCTTCGGCGGGCCGGTCCAACCCAAATCGGCCAAGGACTCCAAACGAGAGGCTTCCATGAGAGGGTTCGATGGGGTCATGTGTAGGTGTTCGTTCAAGGTTTCTCTATGTATACATATGTATATATATATATGCCCACATACATACATAGGGTTTAGGGGGTTAGGGGTTTCCGGATGCAAAACATGGTTTTGAGAGCTTGGCCTTCGGTGAGCTTGGGTTTTGGGGTATCGAGGTCGTTGCTGCGAGTTCGAGGGTGCCTGCTCGCGCACACGTTTGTCAGCTGTAGGACAGGTTTTAAGGTCTTGGAGCTTTCTTCTCCATTTCGAGGGTGCAGAGCAGGGTCCTCTAGAGTTGTGTGGGCTTGAAGTTCCCCCCCCCCCCGACAGGCTCCAATTAAGTGTAACGGGCATGCAGGGCGTTTCACCAGCAATCCTCCACCTCGATTTTTGCATGGCTGAACGGCGAGAGTAGCGTTGGATGGACATCAGGGGGCTTGGGGCTCAATGTCACAGTCTTTAAAATGGACAGGGCAGGAGAATTTAGGGCTCTAAACCCTAAACCCAGGGCTGCTAGAACTTCGCTCCTAGGTTTTTAGGGGTTATAGGCGGTTTTTAGGGTTTAGGGGTAAAGGGTGTAGGGGCCTATGACCTTGTAAGGCCTTCACAACATAGACAGCCACTTCTTTCCAAAGCTCAGCTTTACAGTTTGAAGCGCCGCATCAGTTCCAGAGGCCTCAAAATCCTGGCGAAGTTTGCAGTCTTACCCCGAATTACCGTAACTTCAGCTAGGGCAGGGCTGGGTCTAAGAGTCTAGGGCCTCTAGGGTTTAGGGCTCAGGATTTAGGGCTCAGGATTTATAGGGTTTAAGAGTCAAGAACAGGCTCAGGACTTAGAGTTTCGACGTTTCCACAAGGACGCCTTCCAGCTCCTCGCAGCGAAGGGCCAACCCGAGTGGCTCCTCCCCACCTGCTCTGCGGCTGCAACAGGAGGCTCTTCGTGGGTGCTGCGAGTTAGAAGATTAGAAGGAATCAGCTCAACAAAAAGGCCCGACGGTGTGGGGATAGCTAAACAAGCTGAGTAGATCTAGGTGATGGACATCAACACACCAGTGTACGGTGGTGCAGGTGGACAGGGCTCGACCGTGAGAAGCCGTATGTCCAGCCTCCTCCAACCATACCCTCAAAGCCTTTCAAGACACGACAAGCTGAAGCCACGGTAGGCTTTTGTTGCCGTCAAGCTTGCGTCTCTGAAAACCAAAGCCCTCTCAGTCCCATTGCTTGAGTACACAATCTACCGAAGTGTGGTTGCCCCGCCCCCTCGCAAGGTTAGGGAGGGCAAGGACACCGGTACCGGGTCCACTCCCGTTCGCCCAGAGAGCGCATCGGATAGCCACAGCCCGGCAAAGGGCAATGGCTGCTTAGCTTTGATGGCATGGGGTTATGGGATGCGGCCTTGTTGAGTTTACCACTTCGTGTAGGAGCGCTTTATGGGTACTGAAGCATCTCAAGAATGGGGTCTTGGGGGTTACAGTTAGAATGTAAAGAGATAATAAAGCAGGCAGGATGATAGTACGCTTCGTCTGGCTCTGCGGGCTCACAAGCTTCCGGCTGTGTGAACTGCCTTAGTCTGGGCGAGTTCCTAAACCCTATAATCCCCTAAACCCTATCCCTAAACCCCTAAACTAGGCGTTGCTGGGAGGGCCCGAGGGCCGAGAAGAGTTTATGGGGCGAGTTTCTTGTGGGTTTGGGTGTTGTCCTGCAGCCAAGGGAGCAGCATCAAAGCATTGCAGATTTAGGGTTTAGGGTTTGGGGGAATCCGAGCTTCTACCTGGGACAAAGGGAAGACGTCAACCTCACTCCAAGTTCGACTGAACCCTGGGCGACTCTTGGAAAGAAACTGGCGAAGAACAAGCGCCAAAAACGAGCCCGAAGCCCGAAGACGAGATCGAGTGCCAAAAGCCTTAAAACCACTGCAGTCCTGAGGTAGCCTCACCACGGTCATCTCATCCGCTTTGGATTACAAGCGGTTTCTGGATCGGCGTAAGCAGATGATCCAGCAGCAGGCGCTTAAGGTTTGGCTTTGAAGCCTGCGTGGTGTGCTTACCACCGACTTCACTGACCTCAATATCGTGTATCATAAAAGATGAAGTTGCATATGTACATACACATGTATGTATATACTAATGTGTGTTAATGTATTAGTTTTGTTGTATTGTGTGTACTATTATGATGTCCCGGGGGGGGGGAGTTCTTCAGCCGTGCTGCTTGCCAGGCAGCAAACTTGAGCTTTCCATCGTTTGCGGCTTGGGGGTCTTGCGGTTGTCTGCTCTTCGGCAACCATGCAAACAGCAAGCCAGAAGCCAATGCTGTCCAACACTACATGCGAGGGAACTTAACATGAGCATCAATCATCGTTATGACACCGTTATGATCAGCTACACCACCTCGATGCTGGACACAAGCGAATATGTGCAGCCACCACGGCCATCAGCACCACCACCACGACAACTAAAGGTGCATCCCACCACGACGACAACAACATCAACGACTTTGCTCCTACGATAACTAACGATGAGCAACTCCCGAACAACATTCATAAGATAAGTATGATAGCATTGCCTTTTTCGTGCCCTCCTACATATGTAATGCGAAAAGTCGGTGAAGCCCCTGAAAAGGCAGGTCAGTCAATGCAATGGGGGTTTCTTGAGGCAGTCGGTGCCTCGTCTTGCGGTTCCTTATATCAAGAATCGGGCTATTTAGTGTTTATATCATGGTTTCTCGTTGTCTGAAACCCTCCGTATAATCTGCAGCAGAGGGTCACTCTCCCGGCTTTGCTCGCTCTGCAGGTAGAGACAGCGTGGCTGGGCAGATCTATGCTGCAGACTAGCACCAGCTGAGGGTTTAGGCGTGTTGAATGAGTTTATCGTTTTAGCCGCTTCCGCAAAGAATGGATGGTTCTCGCCTTTGCGGGCGAGCCCGACGCATGACCACAAACACAAAATCCCCAAACCTGCAACGGCGGCCATCACGAACGCTCACGATCCGATAGCAGACAGTGGCAGAAGGGGCAACCTCGCCCTTAGTGCACAGCCCTGTTCTGCATACAGACACTTTTTCATTGGCCCCAGTGGTCCATCTAAGGCAGCAGGCAGACCACGTTCAGAAGAACGACGCAACACGGCTGAACCAGTGCAGGATATGAATACTACGGCCATAGTGGGCCCTTTACATTCGTTGGAACGGCTGCTGGGTTTCGCAATTAAGAACATTCCTTCCATCCCTGAAGCTTTAGCTAGAGACTCTGACACCTCAGGGCCCAAACCTTTCAAGAAATGCAGAACTACATTGACGGCATGTTCGCCGACGAACTACTACCATAGCAGCAACGGGAGGATCTTGTCAGAAGGGCAGCTGGAACATGCCCTACAGATAAGCTTGACGTCGCGGCAGGAAATAGTGCTTGGCTGAGGCCTTTTGGCTCCCGAGCCCTTTTGGCTCACGGTTGTGGGCACAGGGTCCTGGGTGTTTTTTTCTGAGCCAGCGTGCATTCCAAACACGATGCAGGTGTCGGATGCAGTCCGACCATCCGAAAAGCGCAACATAAAGTTGCTGTTGCGAAAGCATTGTAAACCCCAAGCCCTCTGCTCTCATCCCGTTCCAGAGACCTTGCAGCTCGACGAGAGAAATCAACAGAGCTGGCCTCCCAAAGCCCCGCAGAGCCTCACCGCTGAAACCTTGATCCTTATTAGATAGAATGCAAGCCCGATGCCACGAACCTGGTTCTCAAGCTCGCACTGACTCCATGCGAAAGATGGAACTCAAGTCCCTTGACCTCAAATCTACACCGCCCGAAGTCTTGTACTCCACTAGTCGGATACCTAGGCGGAGGGAGAGGAGACGCAACCGACACGGCAATCAGGCAGACCTGGGGGAAGTGACCAAATTGGCAGGTTTGGGCTTCGTTTTACTTTGGGAGTCTTCTCGTTTGGCTGTCCGTGTCCTTGGGGGGACCTGTTGTGCCACTCTGGAGCCAGTGGCTTGGGGTTTGGTGCGGGCTTGGATTCTTTAGCTGGCCGCGTCTTCTTGATTCATGCCGCATGCCTATGAAGCTTCATGAAGCCTGAAAGCTATCAATTTCTTACTTCATCCTAGCCTTGCGTCTGAAGTCCCAAAAATTTCCCTCTGCACTCTCACAGATCCTGCTCTCCACTCAACTCCCAAACCGTTACGCAACTGGCGATCCCTGGCCGAAGAGACCCATCGGAGACCACGGCTGACTATGGACTGCGGGCCCAGAACCCCCAATCGATACCCTAATCCCGTAGTCCATCCTGAACCCGAAAGCCAAAATCCAGGAGCACCAAACCCCTAAACCCCTCCAGGTTTGGGGTCGATTGAAGAGCCGAATAAGTCCTCAATGCCCAGATGCCCGGGTTTAGGGGGATAGGATTTAGGGATTTGGGGTTTCTCACGAGCTGATGTTGTTGCTGCCCCTTTCTGGCACATCAGAGAGATCCAGATTCAGGGGTCTACAAGGGTTTAGACTCTCTAAGTCCTAAACCCTGTAAACCATAAAGAGGATGAATGAGTTGAGGGTTGTTTGTACCGCCTTCCCTTGGAGGCATCTGTTGACGGAAAAAGGCATTTAACACAATAATAAGAAGCCATAATATAATATAATATGACATAAAATAATATAATACTATATTTTTACAACTCCGATTTATAGGGTTTGAGGTAAAGGGTGCCAGGTTGGAATGCACGCGCGACGGGTCCGGTCAAGGCAAGCCATGCCGTCGCGGTGCCCCGGCCAACATCAAAGGAGCTTCACACAACCAGCCGGTTTAGGATTTGTGTTGCAAACAGCCATCCCGAAGAGAATTGAGAGCTCGATACCTGTAGTTTGTTTAGTGTGCGGGGTTCGAAGATCTACCGAAAGAATCTACTACGAGCAGGGCACAGGACTAGCGGACCAGCGGCTCAGGTTGACAATTGAGTTGACACGCGTCTTTAGGACGTGATTCGAGGCTTCGGGGCGTGTTGGTAGACTCTGGCAGACTTTCTTGATGTTGGGTTGAAGCTGTAGCTGTACTCAGAATCTTGTGTTGAGGGGCTGACCCTAAACCCTCAATCCTTCAGCGCTTATTCATTCCTCGTCGGGATTTTGTGGGAATGAGGGACAGCAGCAATGTTCCTTAGCTTCGAGACTCTGCTGCAGTGCTCTGGGACTCATACTCGAAGGACAGCGATCCGAGGTGCGGGGGATAAGCGTTCGGATCCTGTTCAGTGCCAGGTTCCATACAGACCGGCAACGCTGAAATCCTCCGGTGAATGTGCGTTTTGGTGGAAACAGCTCCCTCTCCTAAGAGTCCCCTCACATGACGTTTCCAGGTTCTCGTCGAGAAAGGCTGCATCACCAAGACCGACCAAACCCTACACCCAAAACAAACAGGCCTCCACTGGTTTTTGTTGAAGGAACGCCTGGAATCCACCCTCAAGCCTTACACCTGTTTCTTGAAACAAAGCCCCAATCCTCTTCAGTCTCAAACTGCTAAAAAGGATGACATGCTCGTGTCTGATTGTACCTTTGCTGTCGAGGTTCCATCTTCCGCTGCCGTGCCAGCGGTGAGCCCCAAGCGGCCGCCTCTTGACCCCAGCATGTACCCGAATCATTGAGGGTTTCGGAGGGGGCCTAGGGTATTCGTATTTTCATACAGGGATCAGAAGGGACGACTGCTTATTCAGACCTTTAGGTTTGGGCAGTTTGTGCACGTTATTGTTCTGTGGTTGGAAGGCTGCCGAATCATCTAGTTTAGCTGAGCTTCACCATGGATGGAGCGATGGGCGGACAGGCGCACAGATGGATGGATGGATGGAGGTATGCATGCATGGATGTATGCATGTGTGTGTATACATACACACACACACACACATATATATATATGTATATATATATATGTATGTACACACGCATACATACGTAACTGCACAGGTACATACATATGCACTTGAGTACATGCTCACACACAGACACAAATAGCAACACACTTACATACATGCATGCATGCATGCATGCATGCATGCATGCATGCATGCATGCATGCATGCATGCATGCATGCATACATGCATATGTCTATGTATCTGTTGCACCAAGTTGTCACACGACTTTTGGGCTAGTTTCATCACCCAGCCACACATAATTGTGGACTTTGCCAGGCTTCCAGACTCTTTTCTCTCATAACTGTTTTATGCAGTGACTATAGAGCAGTTGCTTGGCTCTGTCTTGCGTTGTTGGAAATGGGCACTTTCTCGCACAGCGACAATGCTATTGATGCAGGTACGTCGTTACGCTGGGACGTGCGACCAAGACCAGGGGTCTTGAAGCTACCTGCTAAGATAATTCGTTGGCTCTTCTCAGTCTTAGGACCGTGTTTGACAAGTATGGCATAGATTACACTCTTCGGTAGGCAGTATCTGTTGCGCTGTTCTTAGAATATGCTGGTAGTCTCTCTGTAGGCTCTCAACCCTTAAACCTGAACCAATAGAGGTACCCTACATAGTAGGATCCTTCTTACAAGGACCCCAAAATAAGGTCTATGTATCTATATAATTATATTTATATATGTGTAAGATTCTGTCAGACCTTTGAGTCTGAGGTCTTCCACAACGCCAACGAAAGCCAGCGGGGAGGAGAGCCCAACAGAGGCAGGGGAGCAGACGGGTGCAGATTGATGTGTTTTTTTCTGGAGGTTTCAGGGCCAGGATTGTAGGATTTCAGGGTTTTAGGGTCTCAGTCTTCGGGGTCTTTCGTGTGTGTGGCTGTAGGGTTTCTCGGGGTTTTGCAGATCGGCTTTTGAGGCCCGCCTGGATGTGTTTAGGTTTTATAGGGTGCTGCAGAAGAGGGTCGAGATGCTGGGGGGGGTCGGGACATTCGCAAGAAGGAGCCGGAGAGAATCAATTTAGATTCGCAGAACCCAGCCAGAATTAGAAAGTAAGGGCGCTCCGTGCCTGACATCCCGAGAAAACTCGGCTGCATATCCTTTAGAATCTTCAGAATGGAGTCGTGTAGTATTCTGCACGTAGCCGTTTTACAATCCATGATCGAGGTTTGATGGGCGTATCGGGAAAATCCCCAACTCTTAAGCAGTGGCTCGGCCCATTCTCATTGGAAGAGGACTCCGGGACGCCCGGATCGGCAAGAAGTACCTCGCCGGCGCACCTCCTGCGCCGTGTTTGTGTGCCGCCCGTCTGACGTAGATCTGCTCAGCAAACTCATAGAATTTTGAGGCCTTGAAACGGAAGCCCTAAAAAGGGCTTATATAGGGTCTTCGCAGGACGGCTGAGGATTTCGCAGGTGCTGAGCGGCTTTGCAGTACCAGCACTGGGATCTAAGGCGGTTTTGATCAGAAAGAAAGTTGCATTGTGGCGTTCGCTGTTGCTTTGCATGTTGTCCCAAGAGTTTTTGTGTCATGGAGCTTTTGGTATTTGCGGTGTTTGGCTCAGGGGCTTGGGATGTTCGAGGAGGGTTGGCATGGCTAGGATGTTCGGAGCCTTCCATTACCCTACAACCCCAAACCCTAAAATTCGTGCCTGCCTAGTGCGACCGTGCGAGTCAAAACCCCGAAAGTTTGTTGGGTTTGCGGCCCTGTGCTTCTCAGGTGCCTTGAAGTTTTCCGCGACTTCATTTCCAAAAAAAGTCTTAGGGGGTCGGTAGAAGTGGTCATATTTCCATATATTTCCTTCTAACCCGTAATTAGTATGCTCTCAAATCAAATTCGAGCTGTTGAGGTCAAGATATTAGCTACTTACCATAGAAAACTCCTGAGACTCCCCTGGATCCTAAGCTTCCGGACCAATGAGGATGCCAGAGAAGCAGCAGCAACGTGCTCAGATGCTTGGCTGTTGCAGAAGATGGAGCCATGAGCTGAGGTGTGGGGCAACGGGGAATTTTTGGCTTTTGTTGTTCCTGGGAATAGCTCCCTTGCCAACTCTACTCCTAGTCATTACCTTGAAGTCAAGAGTTCCAGCAAAGAGACCCTGTGCATCCTTTGCCCCAGGCTTATGGTCTATCAGCTTAAAGGGCCTCCTCGAAGGGTACATGGACTCCAAGTGTCTGGAGTTGTAAAGAGTTGAACTTAAGTGGTGTTTGTTGCTGCTCCTTTTTTTATGTAAGCTTCATGCAAGGTGCTGTCGTGTGCTTGGACATGTCACTTCCTTGCATGCCAGTCTTATGCTGTGCTACTTGGAGTAGTGTTGAGTGGGGTCGTGCACCGGCTGAATTGTGAGGAATTGCTGCATGGCTCAGAGACTATCGCAGTGACGATGCCTGCGTGTATGAGTGTGTGTGTGTATATATATATATATGTGTGTGTATGCATGTTGTATACATACATACATACATATATGTATACAACGTGTTTGAGTGCAATATACAGGATGCTTCACATGTCTACATGTGTATTGTTATGTACATAGACATAGACATATACATATACATATACACACACATATATATATATGTCTATCTACCCCTTCCAAAGTATGTGCGTCTGCACGTATGTGAGCATGCATGCACCCCTGCATCCATGAACCTATGCATCTATCCATGGATGGATGGAGGGATGGATGGATGGGTAGAGCTGTGCATGCGTGCAGTTCCGCAGGGCGACCAGGCTACCTACAGCTTTCCACCCTGCAGCTTTGTGTGGCATTCTCGCGGTTTTGAGATCGTAGTGATGTGCTTCCAGTGTTCATGACGTTCAACCGTGTTTTTGTGTGTGGTGCTTCCGGGGCATCAAAACCTAGCTGGCAAGCTCAACATTGAAAGTTAGGCCTTAAAAAAACCGAAATCCGATAAAGGCTCCCTGAACCCTACGGCTCTTTGGCTCGTCTGAGGACCCCCACTTCACGCGCCACCCAAAGTGCGGCGACGGCCGCACCAGGCAGTCTCAGTACAAGCTGGCAAAGCGAACGGAAGCGCACGTACACATGTAAGAGAGAGAGAGAGAGAGAGATCCACATATATACACAAATATATGTGTGTATATACATATATACATATATATATATATCTATCTATCTGTGTGTGTATGTGCGTGCATCGTCTGCCTATGGTCTGCACAACGACATAAGTCTTACCATCATTGTTTGGTTTACGTCTCTTCACGGCCAACGTGAGGATGCACGTTTCTTCCTGGTTCTCACTATTTCCATGGCTTGTCCAGGTAAGTCTGTACAGAACCCAAGCCTCCTCGACCCGAACTACTAAGTTACTGAGCGCCCCAAACCCGTAACCCTGCACCTCACTCGACAAATGGCGAACCTTGACGACCTCAGCCGGTAGCAGACCAAGCTTTGTCTGGTCTGTAGACCGGGACACTCCAAATCTTCTGGGAGGCGTAGACTCCGACAGCGTCGGCCGTGTTTCTCGTGCATCCGGGCTGCACATATCTGATCTCTGCAGCCGACGGGTGGGGGTTCAAAGCGGTTGAGGCTTTTAGGGTTTAGGCTTCTAGGTCGGAGGTCTTCGTGGTTAAGGGTTTAGGGTTTTGCAAGCACACAATCCAAGCCCATGCTGAAAAGGGTTTTGCAAGAAGGGCTTAGCTTTTAGGGAGTTATGCTCAAGATGTCGGGCTTATGCTTAGGCCTAGGGCATGTCCATGCTGCTTGAGGGTGGGTCGACATGCATGGTAGACAGGTCATTACATACAATGCGCTTATGCTGTGGCCTTACCCCTAAACCATCCTAATCCAGAAACCCTCTTGAACCATGCAAAACTTACGGGCCTGGGCCGAAAGCCTGCCCTGACACCACAATCGAAGACGTAAGATACTCTAGGGGTCGGAATACTGGCGAGAAGCGACAAACCTGAGCAGCCCTCAAGACCTCGAACCCTTGAGCTCCTCAAGCCCTAAAGTTCCCAAAGCCCCAAAGGCCACTTAAACAGTTCTAAACCATTCTAAACCCTAAACCCTGAAACCCCTAAGCTCTTTCAGCCCAAAACCGACACTGTTGGGGTGGCTGGGGCTTAAGGTTTAGGTGTGGACTGTAGTGTACAAGAATATACCATATACCATGAGATGATACAATACAGTAAAACTCAATATATGTATTGTAATTGAAGACAAATACAAAAAACATAGAACAGAGAAAAACAGAACACAACATAGTACAGTATAGTGTGGCATAGTGTAAAATGTGACGTAGCATACCATATCACATCATGGCATGCAATTTAGTATCACAACATGCCTGCTATATCACAACATGCCACACCATACCATATCATCTATCATGTTTCCTATACCTTTTACCAAATTTTATGTATCATATATCATACCAGATCATATCATGTCGTATCAGAACATAGCACAACATGTCATACAAGAGACTGTAATGTAGCAATATCGTTCGTTTTAATTCAATTTAACATGCAACGCAATAACACCATGCAAGTAACATAATATACAGATAACCTAATATAACATAACTGACATAACATAGTTCATTACAAGGTAATACAACATAAGTACAAAATGGTGTTGTGTAAGATACTATAATATCATGTACTGTACCATAGCATGGTATAACTTACTATAACCCTACGTCTTTAGAACATGCAATACTCTAGCTTAATATTACATATATATATATGCATGCAACAGTAACACATAAAGATCATATGTGATAGGACATGCTATGAGAAGCAACGGTATAATACGATACGGATAGCGGAGGTGTCATTGCCAGCTGGCGCTGGCGTTCAGGCCAAGCTCTTGGCTCTTTCTTCGTGCTGAAAGGTTAGGGCGGTCAGGGCTGCTTCACAAAAACCTTAAAGCTTTAGGCCTAGGCTCGTCCGAGAGTGAGTGCTGAAAGCTTTAGGGGTTAGGGCTTAGGGTTTAGGGTCTACAGGTTACTTGAAGGTTCCGGTCGCTCCATGGCCGAGAGAGCATGACAAGCCTTGCCACATTTGACCATAAGACTCCTGCATGCTGCTGACGCTGGGGACTACAGCCCTTGAGCGAAAACATCCTCTTTGCAGCCCAATAAAATCCGAGAGACAACTCCGGCGCTCAACCCAGAGCCTGTAGAAGTCTTGCGCTGGGCTGAAACTGACACAGTCTCAGCGCGGGGCCACACGAGCTCGAGGTCCATTTATGAATATGGCTCCCTATAGACCGCACCACCCCCGCCCCCCCCGAACCTCAAACCAAAACCCTTCGTCATTTGACCTCAACGTCCTCCCGGCAGGCATGTCGAAGCTTGGGGCAGCCCCTGCGTCTGTAAAGTTTGAGATACCCAGGAAGGAGTGGTTCGGGCTTGGGGTTTGGGTTTAGGGATTTTTTAAACCCACAGAACCCTGCAAACCCTAAAGCGACCCAGCTAAGACCATCAAACGCCATGCCAGCCTGGTGCGAGTGTGTGAGTCGAAACCGGATCGGGGGAGGAGTTTCGTTTCAGGCTTCGGGATGAATAGTCTGCAACCCGGATTTTCAGAGGGTAAGCGGCTTCCCTAAACGGACGCTATGTGAACCTATAGTACTATAGAACGGAGTGCAGAGTTGAGGACTTTTGGGTCCCGGGTGTGCGGGAATCTGGACTACGGGATTTTTGAATGTCTGGCGGCAGTATCCCCGGTGTATAGGGACAAGGGCTTGCACCATGGGGTGTGTATTCTCGTTCGGTTCGGGGTTTCTGTCATCCTTGAACAGAAACGTGGTCTATGCGTGTGACACGCTATAAGCGCCGAATGCCCCCATCCCTATGGCTTTGTACTTTTTACGATTTGTCCTGCCCGCAACCGAAGTCGCCAACGAAGGCACACTCGCAAACCCACACCCACCCCTAAACCCGAGTCTCCAGAGACTGAGCCGCAGCATCTGCCAAGCAAAATGTGCTTGACCACCACACCAACCCTAAGGGGCGAGCAGAAGGGCGAGATCGTCGGAGGTTTCTCCAAAGAAGCAACCGAGGCCGCTGACAGCTAATCAATCGACACATTGTCTCGTTGGGCTCGCGCTCCTCCTCAAGATTTCACTCCGTCTCGCTCGCTCTTTCTCTGTGTGTCTCTGTCGCTCGCTCGCTCCCTCTCTCTCTCTCTCTCTTTCTCTCTCGCTCTCTCTCTCTGTCTCTCTCTCTCTCTCTCTCTCTCTCTTTTTGTCTCTCTCCCCCTGTGTCTCACCCTCTCTCTCTCCCTCCCTCTCCCTCCCTCTCTCTCCCCTCCCCTCCCTCTTCCGGGCTGTATATGCTGCTTCTGGGTGGGTGGGGGGGTGGGTGGGTGGGTGGGTAGGTAGGTAGGTAGGTAGGTAGGTACGTATGTAGGTCGTGTGTGTCACTTGTGTCATGCATGCATGCATGCATGCATGCACGCATGCCTATATATATATATATACATAGACACATACATATCTGTGTGTGGGGTGTGTGTGTGTGCGTATGTATGTATGTATGTATGTATGTATGTATGTGTGTCTGTCTGTATGCATG